CATTATTAGAAAGAAATTATATATATAATGTGACCATTTTAAAAGAAGTAATGAGAATAAAATTATTAAAAATAAAGAAATTTAATTTATTGTTAAAAAGAAATTATATATATAATGTGACCATTTCAAACGAGGAGTATGTGTGTGTGTGTGTGTTTTTTTTTTTTAAGTGAGGTGAGAGAAAATTCGTAAAAAATTTTAACACTCAAATAAATGTTCTAACAATATTTTCTAATGCCAAAAAAAGCAACTTCAAAGAGTTTCTTCCAGCAATCTATTTCAGACTCAGAAGGCAGATTGATCAAACATGTGTCCAAACATGTTTTAAACACTACCTCTTAACTTATTAGGCAGGGATACACGTTTGGAGACCCAACCATGATCTCAAACACAGCCTTAATAGTTAAACCTAACAGCGGATAACGGTCAACAATCAAAGTATTTTTGTTATGACGATAAACTTTGAACATATATAAAAATCAAAAAAATTTCAGATTTTAGTTCTCCTTTATAGATATTTTCAGGATATTTAAACATCTTATTAAAAAAAAACCTGAGTAGATTTCAAAGCAAAATGTTTTTACCCTGTAATTGATTAAAAAGAAGAATATATAAAAATTAATTAAGTAGATATAAGATTTTTACAAATTTAATTAGCAGTTAAGAGTTAAAAATACCCATAAATTTATGTTAAAAGTTCTTCAAACATTATAGAATTTTTAATAAAAGCATCAGAATACTTTCAATATTTTTTTGGTAGACATTATAAGTATCTTTTGAAAATAAATTATTTGTATCAACAGCATATAGAATTGTGTATCTATTCTCAAGCCTATGTTATCATGTGTAATAGTCAACTTAAAATTTCTTTTACGTTTAGGTTCAATTTTTTGGGAGAATTTAAAACACTACTTTTGATGGTGGGACCTATAATTTTTTAATAAAAACACCAAAGTACCCCAGTTAAAAGGAAAAAAACCTATTCAATTCGTGGGTCCAAGTGTCCAGAAAATGGATGTTTGTTCATCACAACAGTACTGGCATTATTGAGATCTTTTTAAATTTAAACTGATAGATTTAAGCTGAAAGGTAAACTTTTGGTATATTTTCAGGAATATTTTTTATTCTTAACCCTTTAAATAAATATATTCCAAAATTTATCTCTATTCAATTCTAGAATATGCATTTCTTCCTAATAAAGCATGTTTATGTAGGGAAAAAAAACAATAAAGCAGATAATTTAAAATAAGTCTTCTGAAAAAGACCCCTGCATAGAAGAAGGGGAGGATCGAATTAATGGAGCCAGCGAATTCACACCATGTAATTCTTTTAATTATTTAATTAAAAAGGTGGGTTATGTGTTTGGCCCGTTTGGGAAAGCGGGTGCACAACTTGTGAATATTATGACCTATTATAAATTTTACACTATTCCATTAATGGAATTATTTTTTTCTTGGTCACAGCATTAGGGTTGGAACTAGATTATGCTATATTTAGTTAAATAGACTTGAACGTGAAATAGAAGTCTAAAACTTAAATTTGAACCTCATCCGGAGCTTGAATTCGTATACAAATGAGTTAGTATAATTTCTTATTTTTCAAATTTTTTCTCATTTTGATTTTTGGTCTTTATAATTTAATAAAAATCTGGACCATTTACTAATTGAGGGATCAAAACCTATGACTTAAAATTTCAAGGACTGAAACCAAAATTTATGCAAATCTAAGGACCAAATGGTAAATTAACTCAAATTTTTTTAAGGCTTAATCTTAAATCGTTAAAAGGTTTAACATGGAACTTTTTTTAAAAGATTATGGGATAATTAATCTCCAGGTTTTTATAATTTCATTTGATTTTTAATTAGTTCCTATAAAATTTTTTTCTTTTTATCAGATCTTTTTATTTTCACATGTTTTAAATTAGATCCCTCCATTTTTTTTAATCAATTCCTTATAGTTTCACTTATTTTTTAGTGAGGTCCTTTGTAGTTTTAAAAAAATTATTTATTAACTTTACTCTTTAAAATTAATTTCATTTTTTAAATTAATAATTTTATAATTGGAAAAAATAATTAATATCATGATTTAGTACTTAATAATTAATCAGAATAATCAATTGTACTTAACTATAAATTATTTATAATTATATTCTAATTTCAGAAAATTTTATTATTATAATTTGAATTTTATAATTATAAAAAATGGAATTGAAAAATAAATAATATATATGTTTAAATTATTTATAATTATATTCTAATTTCAGAAAATTTTATTATTATAATTTGAATTTTATAATTATAAAAAATGGAATTGAAAAATAAATAATATATATGTTTAACTAAAAATTTAAAAGAATATTAACATAAGATTATTATAATAATTTATTATTTATGGACTATTATTATTTATAGAATAAAAAATAAAAACTACAAGGACCTAATTAAAAATAAGGTAAATCAATAAGGACTTGATAAAAAGAAAAAAAAATTACAAGGACTTGATTAAAAACATGTGAAATTATAAGGATTTGATAAGAAGAAAAAAATTATAGGAACCTAATTAAAAGATAGTTGAAACTATAAGAACTTACATATTAATTAGGAAAAATTACGCACAGGTCCCATAGAAGAGAGTTTATTTATCTAAAGTCCCACAAAATGTCAAAATTACTGACAAGTCCCAAGGAACCTCAGAGTAATATATTCTACTTGTAAAATGACATTACTGTCCTTCATATTCCAAATTCACATTTGCTTTGTCATTGCGATTTACAATCTCAGCAGTGACTATTATCAACCCAATGAGAGGGCGTTAACAACCTAAACAGTATCCGTTAACAACTTACTTTATAGAATCATATAACCTCCACATAAGAGTAAATTATAACCAAATAGTATAATACAACAACTTTAACACTAAAATAGAAAGCTTTTTGATATCATTAAGAATTTTAACTAAAAACCCAATAGGATTATAGCAAAATTTTAATGCGAAAATCCATTGACAACCTCAATGGTGAGTATTAATAACCTAAAGAGAACTGTTAACAATCTTAGTAGTGTCTGTTAACAACTGACTTTATCGGATAATATAACCTCTAACTATAACTAACTAAATTATACTCCTCCGGTCCTAAATGTAAGACCCTTATACACACTAGTATAAGGGTCTTACATTTAGGACCGGAGGAGTAACTAAATATTATTAAAGTTAATCTTATATAGTTGTTAGAGGTTATATTATCCTATAAAGTCAGTTGTTAATAAATACTGCCTAGATTGTCAACAACTCTCTTTGGGTTATTAATACTCACCGTTGAGGTTGTCAATGGATCTCCACATTAAAATTTTGCTATAATCCTATTGGGTGTAGTTAAAATTCTTAATGATATCAAAAAATTTCCCATTTTAGTGTTAAAGTTGTTGTATTATACTATTTGGTTATAATTTACTCTTATGTGGAGGTTATATGATTCTATAAAGTAAGTTGTTAATGGGTACTGCTTAGATTGTTAACACCTTCTCATTAGGTTATTAGTAGTCGTTGTTGAGGTTGTAAATCGCAATGACAGAGCAAATGTGAATTTGGAATATGAGGGGCAGTAATGTAATTTTACAAATAGAGTATATTACTCTGAGGTTTCTTGGGACTTGTTAGTAATTTTGACATTTTGTGAAGTCTTAGATGAATAAAATCTCTTCTGTGGGACCTGTACGTAATTTTTCCTATTAATTATCCTAAAGCTTATTGAAAATTGAGGCTTTAAATACGTTAAAAAGCACATGCCCCCAGTACCATATATAATTATTCAAGGATACTTAAAAGCTTATGTTATTATAAAAAATTACATATGATTTAATTATTAAATAAATCTAATTTAAATTTGTAATAAAAGAACAAAATTTTCATCATAACACCTCATAAAAACTAGGATCATTTGTTTATAATAGTAACAGAAATAATTATAAAAATTCATCAGGCCTATAGAGCAATAATCTAAGACACCAATATAATTTCTTCTTTATTATTAAATGACTCCTACAAAAGTAATCAATTCATTAATATTAAGCAGACATATTTAATACGGACTAGAAACATATTTTAGCTAGTGATTAGTATGTGAGTAGATTTTTAAAGCGGCGAATCAAAATAGGTTAGGGTGTTAAGTGTTACTCCTCCGATCCTTAATATATGGTCCAATTATTAAATTGATTTTGATTCTAAATATAAGACCCATTTTTCATATTTATCAATTTTCTCTAAATTAACTCTATGGATACTCCCTCAACTATAATCAAGTAGAAGAGAAAGATGGGATATTAAAAAAGATAATTATGGTATTTTAGAGAAAACATGTCATATTTTTTATAATTAACTAACTTACCTAATTTCATTGATCTAATCAAATTAGTGAAATAGATTTTATATTAAGGATCGGAGGAGTAATTGGAGTCTAGCTTACTTCCACCCTAAGTTTTGCTTTTAGCCTTCTTTTCATGAAAAGTCAACAAGTCTTCTCTTTAAAATAAATAAATAATTACAACACGGTAAAGCCACGGTGTGGGGTTAGTTATAAATACAAGCGACTAAAGAAAGCAATAAGTGTGATTTGATTATTTGTGGGGCAAAGGCCATGGACCAGAGGCTGGTGAAAGCTGCAATAGATGGAGATGTTCACACTCTGCACAACCTATTGAGGGAGGATCCTCAAATACTAGAGAAAGCAAGTTCAGTTCATTTTGCAGATTCACCTCTTCATGTTGCAGCGAGATCAGGGAAAGCAGATTTTGTGAACCACATTGTGACTCGAATGCCTTCATTTGTCACTGAGACAAACCAGCAATATGATCCCTTTACACCTGGCTTCTCTACAAGGTCAAGTTGAGACAGTGAGGGAGTTGTTGAAGGCAAATCTTCATGAAGATGGAGTGAATCAATGCCTTGGGAAGGAGGAGGAAGGCTGGACTCCGCTGCACTGTGCATCACAGAAAGGCAATATCATGGTGATGGAACAGTTAATGAGCGCATGTCCTCAGTGCTTGGAACAAGTTACAGCAAAAGGAGAGACTGTTCTTCATGTAGCAGTGAAGGCCAATCGATTTGAAGATGTGAAAGTGCTAGCTGACAGCATCAGTCATCACAGTTTGCACAGAGCGTTGAAAGCACAGGACCAAAAGGGCAAGAGCGCCTACCAACTGGCAGCAGCAAAGAAACAGTTGCAGGTATATATATTAAAAAAAGTGCAATATGTATGTGCATGTAATGAATATATACGGGTGTTTATATATATTAAAAAAAGTGCAATATGTATGTGCATGTAATGAATATATAAGTGTGTTTAGATATGTTGACTGGAATACACACATACATACATAAATATATGTATATATAACTGCGGCTGCAGGTTCTAGAGGTACTGAGGGAGATGATGAGGAGGGTGACAAAATAAGAGAGGAACGTTGTATAAACGTGGACGGGAAGGAGAGTGAGAGTGAAGAATGCAGAAAACAGGAGAGCAAGGACAGCAAGGAGATGCCGTGGAAGCTGGCTGATTTAATACTGGTAGTGGCCACCTTGATCATAACATTGACATACCAAGCTATGGCAAATCCTCCATCAGCCTTTTTCAAAGATGGCAGCACTAAAACAGACTGGGCCTGCCGTCTCAGCTCTTTCAGACATGCGTCAAATCTCGCAGACGCCCTGAAGAACTGTCCGGCTGCGTTGCCTTCTACTTTCTTGTTTTTCAACACGCTGCTCTTCCTCCAATCGATCTTCGTCGTGGTTATCACTTTGCGGAGCTCACGCTGGCTATTCGCCATTGTGCGAGTGCTCACGGTGTACCTCACCGTGATTTATAGTTGCATACTGTCGGCTGTCAACTATTACTTGGTATATCCTTCAACGGCTCTTTTAGTGATAGTGATTTTAGTTGCCATGCCATTATCAGAAAAAGCAATGGCGTTAATCTATAAAGATGGAAACATGATAAGGCGTTCACACCAACAGCAAGCTGAAGGATGATTTATTTCCAATGTATAATGAATTTGTTTTATACTATATATGGATGTAATGAAATCTTTCTCCTTCCCCACATTTTATGTTTGTGAACGGATTTTCACTTGTTTTAATGGGCTGTATGTGGTATTAACTTGCATCTGAATATGTACTCCAAATTGAATGAGAAGAGAATGATTCAATAAAACAAACCATTCATATGCTCTCACAAATTAATGTACAACATCCTGAATTATCCGGAATTATGTTTCCTCGTTTTTTCCTTGTTATTTGTCATTTGAGATTCACTTCAATGGCCAAAAAAAAGGCTTCTCACTTATTGTGTGATTTTTATTATTTATTGTGAATTTTTTGGGGTCAAAATATTTATTGTGAATTAACATTGAAGGCTCCTATCCACTTTTGAGGTTCGAATTTGGCCCATTTTAGATAAGGGTTAATTTTGCCTTTAGTACTATTAAAATTACTAAAACGACCTTCTGAAAAAAAATCCACTTTCATAAGATATCCATCTAGAAAAAGATGAACTCTTTGAAATATTTAGGTCTATTTGGTATGAGAAAAATGGAGGAAAGGAAAGGGGAGAAAATATTTTAATAGGCTTATTTTAAAAAATTGAAGAAGTGTGGTTAAATTTTTTAATTAAGTTTAATTACTTTTTTATCTAATTTTTTTAAAAAAATTTTAATCCCACTTCTTTAATTTTTTAAAACTAGCCCATCAAAAAAAAATTTCCGCCTTCCTTCCATTTTTCTCGTACCAAAACAGATCGTTAAAAACTGCAATGTCGTTGTCTTCCTTTCCATGATCCTCCGTCCCTCTCTTTCTTGTGGTGGCGTGGGCGTATCGGGGTTTTGTCGGTCTTGCAAATTTGGAGTTGTGTTCCTCTTCTTCAAGCCCCATCATTTGATCTCTACTTCTGTCGTTGGTGTTCTGGTTGTTTGGAGAAGGATTACGCTGCGCCTCTTACTTCTTCCACCTTCAATGTCGCTGCTGGTGAAGCTCTAAGTAAACTCAAATTCTTTTCTCTTTCTTAACCTGCATATTAGCTTTTGAGAGGAATCTTCACTTCATTTTTCTTCCCCTGTTTCGCCGCTACTATTGTGCGTGGTTGACATTATTTGATTATTTGCTTCTGCTCCTCTAATCGATACATACATGTTGGTATATTTGAAATGTCCTCCCTTTCCCTACATTTATGTCGGTAAAGTGTGCAACAATCAAACTCAGAAATACATGTAATATAATGACAGAACAATATCAAAGCAAATGCTATAATGTTCTCACCGCAATATGGATACAATCTTACTCAGAAATAGAAAATATGCAGAAAGGAAAATGTTAGAAGAGCAGACAAACAATTGCAGAGGGAGGGAGGGAGCCACAGAGAGAGAAGAGAGATTCCAAAGTCATTCTACACCTTCCGTAACCAATTTTACCCTTACTATACTGACTCTTCTGCATCCAAATCTCCCACTTTTCATGCTTTCCACTTGCTCCTATCTTAGCCTCCAGGGCCCCTAACTTGGCCCAAATACTTTATGACCGTTCAAAATGTTTGTGAAATTTTGTGACAAGAGGGATTTAATTAAAGTGAATATTTAAGTTAATAAATCGATTGTTGGAAAGCACATGATGTGGTTGATTAAATACTTGAAGAGAAGGAAATGTGGAAGTTGTTCTTCCCAAACTTATGGGTTAAGTAGTACGTAGTTACGATCGAGTACTAAAACTCTGTCATTATTCAAACTTGTAACTTTAATCTTCATAAAAAGGGGTAAGACTCAAGTTTTCTCACTGCTTTAAATGGTTGCAAATTAAGATTGTTTATGAAATTTATTATGTTGATGACTGCAAATACTAAGAATAAGGATCATCATGAAGTACAATGAAAAAGTTCTATCAAATGAGATTATATGAAATTTCTTTCAATAAATAAAAAAAATCTTTAACTGATGCCTTTCGTTTACGGATGTCAGGGGATTGAGGATTATATATATAATCTAGAGTTGAATATAGATATAAGTTATACTTTTCAGAATGCAGCAGTGTGCGAATGGCGTCCCATAATAATAATTTTCAAAAATTGTTTTACTATTTCTTATCAATTCAACTAAACATCAGATTCTCACCAAATGATCTAGCAAAGAAAATTTTATTGAAGGAGATGGAGATTATAGCACACTGCACAACCTATTGAAAGAGGATCCTCAAATACTAGAGAAAGCACGTTCAGTTCGTTTTCCAGATTCACCTCTTCCTGTTGCAGCACCATCGGGAAAGCAGATTTACTTAACCACATTGTGAATCGAATGCCATTATTAGCCATAGAAGGCAAAGCAGCAAAGTATGATCTCACTACACCTGGCTTCTTCAAAAGGTCATGTTGAGACAGTGAGGAAGCTTTTGAAGGCAAAACTTGATGATGACGGAGTGAATCAGTGCTTTGTGAAGGACGAAGAAGCTAAAATCTGCTGTATTGTGCATCACAGAATGGCAAATGAGGGTGATGGAAGAATTAATGAGCGCTTGTCCTCAGTGCTTGGAACAAGTTACAGGAAAAGGAGAGACTGTTCTTCATTTAGCAATGAAGGCTAATCGATTTGAAGATGTGTAAGTGCCAGCTAACAGCATCAGACATCACAATTTGCACACTCCGCTTAAAGGCTAGGAGGCTAGGACTAAAAGGGCAAAGAAACAATTGCAGGTATGTGTGTATATATATGTGTATTAAGAAATATTACCTCCAGTCCTTAATATACGAGTTAGTAGGGGACGAATTTTGTCTTAAATATAAAATCTTAATTCACTTTATCTCTCAATTTGTAAACTCTGCCTTCAAATATCCTTATTGATTATAAAATAATTACCAAGAGCTACTTCCGCTACACATGATTAAAGATGACAGTTTAGGGAAGTCAACCCGTTTGTTACAAATAATTAACTTAATTAATTTCTTTAATCTCCTCAAATCAGTTATTTAACTCTTATATTAAGGATAAGAGGTAGTATATAGTATGTGCATTCATCAGTATGCATGTTTGACTATTTATGTTGGTGGTATGGGATGTGACTGTGGCAGGTTCTAGAGTTATTGAAGGAAGATGATGAAAAGGGTGATGAAATGAAAGAAGAACATCGTATAAACATTGAGGGAATGTGTAGTGATGACACTGAAGCATCTAAAAAAGTGCAGAGCAATGTATCATATTTGTTTCAAGATGCAATCCCAGTAGTGGCCACCTTGATTATAACACTGACATACCAAGCTTTGGCAAGTCCTCCATCAACCTTTTACAAAGATGGTAGTGCTATAATAGACTGGGGCTGCCTTCACAGTAACGAGAATCACGGATCATTAGAAAGCTGCGTAAAATTCCTCAAGGAGTATCCAGCCATTTTGGCTTTATTGTTCATGATTTTCAGCACCTGGATCTTCTTCCAATTAGTCTTCATTGTGGTTAACACTTTGCGGGGTCCCATTACACTCCCTGTGCGACTTCTTATGCTGTTCCCCATATTGTGTTATATTTTCTTACTCGCGGCTTTCTACTATTATGCCGTATATTTTGTAATTCCCTTTGTATTTTTAGTGATTTTCCTCTTCTTATTCACAAAAAGGAAAAATCACCCAGAACCGCTCATAATTACCATATTTCGCTTGCATATTAGCGAAAATAAATGGCGTCAGAGGATGCATGTAACATGCTGAAATCTTTCTTTTTACGCATATTTTAAGTATGCTTGTTGTTTTCATGGGATTTGTGTGTGCGTTTTTTGCATATGAGTATTTACTCTCTACTAAATGCGAGGGGAATGATTCAATAAAAGAATTCTTGACCACTTGAAGCGTGCTGATATAATTAGTGCGCATCCCATGACTTCTCTTATGGTATTCAATACCAAACTTCATGCTACTGGCCCTGATTTTCTTGATCTAACATTTTACCTCAGCACAGTGGGTAGTTTCCAATATTTGTCTTTCACTTGCCCTGATCTCTCTCATGCTGTAAACCGTGTGTGTCAATTTTTGCATCAACCCAAAGAGTGTCACTGGACTGCTATTAACAGAATTCTCCATTATCTTTGTGCCACTTGTCACTTTGGGTTACATTTCAAAGGATCTAGTAACCTCTCCCTATTTTTCGCTGTTGTATCTAAAACTCTACCCATTCTTGAGGTCTATTCTAATGCAGATTGGGGTGGTTGTCTAGTAGATTCTCGATCCACTGCTGGTTTTATTGTCTATTTTGGTCCCAATGTGATATCTTGGAGTTCAGAGAAGCAGCAAACAGTTTCCCGGTCCAATACTGAAAGAATAAATACTTAACACAGTAACGCCATATAGTGAGGTTATAAATATAGCAGAGCAGCTTAGATAAGTCGAGGAAGAGTGGTGGTTGTAGATTAAAAGGAAGAAGTAAGAGGGCATGGATGAGAGGCTGGTAAAAGCTGCAAGAGTTGGAGATGTGACCACACTACACAACCTAATGGAGGCAGATCCTCAAATAATGGAGAGAGCATTTTCATCTCATTTTGCAGATTCACCGCTTCATGTTGCTGCACCATACGGGAAAGTAGATTTTGTGGAGCAGATTGTGACCCGAATGCCTTCATTAGCCACAAAGACGAACTAGCAAGGTATGATCCCATTGCACTTGGCTTCTTCAAAAGGTCATTTTGAGACAGTGAGGGAGCTCTTGAAAGCAAAGCTTGATGATGATGATGGAGTGAACCAGTGCCTTGTGAAGGATGATGAAGGCTGGAGTCCATTGCACTATGCATCACAGAAAGGCAAAATCAGAGTGATGGAGAGTTAATCAGCGAATGTCCTCAGTGCCTGGAACAAATGACGGCAAAAGGAGAGACTGTTTTTCATTTAGCAGTGAAGGCCAATCAATTTGAAGCTGTGAAAGTGCTAGCAGACAGCATTAAACGTCACAACTTGCACATAATGTTTAAAGCCCAGGACCAAAAAGGCAAGAGTGCCAAACAGCTACAGGTAT